GGACCAGGCCTGAACACAGTCTTATCTGCCCCCAAAGCCCACATTGTTCCTTCATATCCTGTTGCCACCTCCGACGTTCAAAAGATGTCACCACTTGCCTCACAAAGAGGGAGCTGAGTCATCAATTCACACAGATACGAAATAACAAAAAAATACACACAAGATCATCTAGCCAGAGCAATTTGGCCAGAAGAAGCCAACTATGCTCTGAGCAAATATCCTGTGTTCTGCTAAAAAAATTATTCCAACAGCAGGATGCAACTACGTCCACACTAACCAACAGGCTGTGTCTTCATTTTTGTCACTGACTGCTTAAGAGTCGGAAGACTTTTTAAACTGCCCACGTAATCTCTTATCATTACTAAATTAACGCAAAAAGCCTCACACAACGTCTTCAAGACTGCATCTTCGTGGACTACCCAAAGCAAAGAGGTCTGCAGCAAAGACTAGGCCGATAAATCTGGAAAGTCAAATCCATGAAGTCCGGCTCCCCCCAGACAATCTGAGTTTGACCTTAACTTACCCAAATGAACTTTATACGCCACCCAGACAAACAGGCAGCTTTTCCACTCTTTCCATTAGGTTTTAATTATGAAACCGGCCTCAGACGGTTTATTCTGACAGGATTCCCTCCACCAATGAGCAGACTGCTCCTACGGGTCCTTGAATCAGCTCATTAAATACCAACTGCCAGAAATCTCAGAGATCATCTTTTTTTCTCCTATTGTGTCAGTCGTTATGTCGCCAAGGTAGAGGCGAGCGCCTTGCTCGTTTAGAAACTCAGCCAATACACTTACTATTTGCTCTGAATTATTTTCCTGTCACTCAACCTCCTAACCTGGGTGAGAACCAGTCGCTCTGGTAGTAGAAGATAATTGTCCACGGGAACCAAAATTAGGTTCTCTGGATTATGGTTTGACCTAAAGCTATCCACGAACGCTTGGAAATAGTTTCATTAGTGATTTTCACCATAGAGGTATTTACTGTAACTGGATCTGGCCTATCCGACGAGATGGTTCTAGGGACTCGAGCTACAAAAACGTTAACAGAGAACAACAAATAAGGCAACCTTAAGATATTCATTTCTCCCCTATCAGGGAAGCGAAAAGATCTAAGAGAAAGGAGCTGAGATGGAGGTATTATTAAATGATAAATTACCGAATCAGCCAATATGAAATTGTCTACAATCAACTGGACGGAAATACAAATTCAATTATGCATCTCTAACTTGCCAGGTACGCAACAGCTGGGAAAGCCTTCATTTCCACAGGTGCAAAACAATTTTCCCTTGGGATCAGCCTTCCTGGTTAAGGAGAAGGCATAGTAGTGGCTTTCTAATATAGCTAGCTCTCCTTAAAAAAAATTCTAGCTTGTCAAGAATCAAAAACGTCAACCTTCAGAGCAAACTGAAACCCTATCTGGGAGACAGGACAGACTATGAATTAGAAAGCCCTTTTGGGGAATCGTATTTTTTTTCTTTTGAAGAGCAAATTTGAGGGGAGAAAAAAATAAAGCGGTTTTATGTCCACAATATCTATGTTTTCCTGGTCACAACTGATTTTGTTTCTACTGGGAAATTTTTTATTGGCTTTCAAATTAAACCTCTCCCCAGAGAATATAAAAATTTTACAGATTACAAATGTGTAAGAGTTACTGTTAAATCAGGGATTCTGAGTGACACCCTTTTTTTTTTTGCAACATCCATTAATTTGAATTTTAACTAATAATGGTACATCAGTTTGGGGGGAAAAAAAGGCAGTACTGTGACATTTCAAAAACAAAGACTACTAAAATACAGTTTGACATAATTACTGAGGCTTCTTGGACTTGATGGATGAGATTCCTTTGAAAACAAAAAACAATAAACCCTTGTGTTGATATGCCTGAGCGCTTTTTAAATGTTTGGGGAAATATTTTTAAATTCAATGAATGATTGCTAAAATTTTCATTTACAAGAGAAATCTCACTTCCTTAACATTTCGTTTTAAAAGTAAAGTTAAATAAGCATCCTTCTAGAACCTAGCAGCCCTTGAAACTTGGAAGGTTCATCTGTTAGCATCCAGTTTTTGCACTTGGCTCCTGGAGCAGGAATTTCAAAGGTTGGGAAACTTCAAATAAATGCAATTCACTTTCGGCCGACCCTGCGCACTGGGTAGTGTGTCAGTTTGTGCTTCAGACATTTTTGCAGGATACTGTACTGTGTGGACACTTCTTCCTCCCACAACTGATTTTACATACCTAAGATCACTTGACGAGTTAAGTTGTGAGCATATCGAGAGGAAGAACAAAACGTGGCCCACTGAACTGCAGTTTACATGTCTCCTCATCTACATGTGGATGAACTTTTTTTTTCCCCTAAGAATGGAAAAAAGGAACAAGAGCTTTTGGAGGGAAAGAGGGCGGTGTGTTAAAGTTTTCTCTTAACAAAGTATGTCAGGGACCAAAAGTGGGCGAGAGGGAAAATTGAACTTCAACGTGTTTTGTCTTTTAACGGAAGAACTTATGCTTGTAAAACACATCAGAAGTACAGTGTTTGGTTCTGCAAGTCATTTCTGTCACTGTTTTTTCCTTGTTGGTGTAGGAGGGGGGACTGGGGGCTGGAGGAAGTGTTCCTCCATCATGACTGGGCGTGTAACACGTTTGCATCAACTTTTCACGGTCAGGCATGTGCTTTCGAACAAAGGAACAGTGGAGACAGGGAGAGGAGACTGGGGTTTGACACACTGTACAGATTTGGTGCTTAAACAGTACTTTACAAATGACTTGCTTAATTTAAACGTCCATCACCATAAGAGACATTGGAGTAAAATGGGGAAATCGGATCTACTGGAACCACAATCTTTTGGGGGGGGGGTGGAGGGGAGGGAGAACATTAACTTGAATGCAAGTATCATAAACCAAATTCAGTAACCTTGTCTCCTGCAAATGGACTTGAAGTATCCACTTTCTTCAAAGAGGAAGGCTGGAGACAAAGCAATGGACTGAAATGTAAAGAGGCTGGAAAATATACGGGCCTTTTACATACGTTTTTGCCATGTTACAGTAACACGCTTTTTTTTTTTTTTGAGAAAACTGTGTACGTCAAATTAAAAAAATTAAACATCGAAAGGATGTGCAAGTCTAAAAGGGCTTAACAGGGTTAGAATCCTGATTCCAACATATCAATTCACTCTCTCAAGCATCACTCTGGTCTAAAGGCGAGGAGGAAGGCAGGCAGGAAAGGGACATAAAAAGGGAGATAATTGAATTACTCAATAAAAGAGGCTACTTACCATCCCAACCCATTGTAAGACATACACTTCTGACATAAGAGAACTCCTTAGAGGTCGAATAAAGCGTGTAAGCACCTCTGAGTAATGCACCTGCCCCCAAGAGGGGGCCCGGAAGCCCAAGGCGGGCTTATCGAACAGACCTTTGCTAATCTGTTTATTTCCTTGAACTGGAGTCAGGCTGCGATGGGCTGCGGTTCCCAGGACGATACATTTAATTAGAACAAAACAGAACAAAACAAAAAAAAAATTTTTTGTAAAAGCTCACCAAACTGCTGCACTTGTGTCTCTGAATGTGGGTGGCATTTCTTTTAAAAGGCAAAGTATGGTCTGCGAAGGAGAAAGGGAAAAGGGGAGGTGGGAGTGGGGAGAAGGGGCGAGGTGCCTGGCGGGGAAGCCCTAGCTCTGAGCGCTGTCTAGGGGAGGGTCCTCAGCGACTCCCCAGCCCGGGCGGCGACCCGGCAGCCATCTGTCCAGCGCGTTCCCTTCCCCTCCCCACCCCCACTCCTAGACTCGCTTTCCTGTCGGCTGCAGCCCTCCTTCCATTTCCAAATCCACTCTCGAGCCACCTCTTCCCCTGCCCCACCGGGGAACGGTGGCGGAACCCTGCACCCCAACCTTCTGCTGGAGCAGGGGAAACGGGGGCCCCCGACCTCGCCCTGAAACGCGCCGGGCTGGCCCCTTTATCACCCTCCCGAGAAGGGCGTGGGGCGAGCCCATTTCGCACTTAATACAGGGGAGGGGGGGCGCTCCCTTTCACCCCCTGCCAAAGCACAAGGAGACCTCGATTTCTCGCCCGGAAGGGATGGCGCCCCATTTTAGCCCGAAAGAGGAGGGGACCCCAGGAGAAACAGGGGACCAACTTCCTCTCCTCTCCAAGGCAGGGAAACCAAACCTCACCCGCCCGCCCCCCAAAAACGCATCACCTACCTACGAAAAGCGAGGACCCCTCTCTTTAAGGAAACACATGGGGAAGGGGCTTCTCCCCCTAAAATAGGCAGGGACTTCCATCCAAGGGGTTAGAGATCCCCCCACCAATTTTGCCCTCTAAGGAATAGCTAGGAAACGCCTCCCGCCAAAAAAGTGGGAGAGCCCCGACCCAAAGAACCCCCCAAAAATGGATGGAGAAAGGACTGAACGAACCCCCACTTTCTGCCTCCTAAGGCGGCTAGGGTACCTCTCCAAGTAGGGCAGGGCACACCTCCCCCAGGAGAAAGGATACTGCCGGGGGCTGGGAGACCCCCACCTCCAAACCCCTAAGAGCGAGCTGTGGCTCGAGATCCCCCCAAAAGGGTCCGGGAGCCCCTCCCCCATCCCCTTCCCCGAAGCCAGGCGACGGGCAGGCGGGCCCGTGGCTGCCAGCTCCGGGCGCAGGGGCCGCCAGGACCCCCGTGGGCCTCCGCAGCCCCCCCCCCGGCGCCCCCTCCCCAGGGCGGGCGCGGGGGTCCGGGGGGCGCCTCCTCACCTTCCCCTCAGCATGGCGCCCAAAAAAGACAGAGCGAGAGCGAGGGAGAGCGGGCGAGCGCCGCGAGGGGGGGGGAACGCATGAGGCCAGGAGAGAAAGCAAGCGAGAAAGAGCGAGCGAGCGAGCGAGAGACACCCACCGACCCCGCCCTTCCTCCTCCTCCTCCTCCTCCTCCGTGGCCCGGCCCAACATGGCGGTCGCCCCCCTTCCTCCTCCTCCTCCTCCTCCCCCCGGGGACGCTGCCCCGGCCGGGCCGGGGGCCTGACCTGTCGTCAGGGAGCGGGAGGCGGTGGTGGAGGAGGTGCGGGGTGGCCGGGCAGGCGTCGGGGGAACACGGAGGAGGCGAAGGCGTTGATGGCGGCGGAGGCGATGGCGGCGGCGGCGACTCTGATGGCGGCGGCGGGGGGGTCCCGGGCGCGGCCTCCATAGTTCCTTTGGGGGGAGGGGATGTCAATGCACGAAAAAGGACTGCTTGGGCGTGGCGGGAGGGGCACACTTGAGCTCTGAGGGCTCCTGAGAGGAATGGGGATATTTTTTATCGGTTTGGGAATCACCTCTGCGCCGACCTCCGCGTAGGCCGCGCGGCCTAGGCCTCGGCGGGCCGCTCGCCGCCTGCTTTCTCCGCCGCCCGCCCCTGGGGTCACTCGCTCACGGGCGCGGGGCCCTCATCGGGGCGAGAGCCCCCCCACACACACACACCCCCGCGGGCCCGGGGGCGGGAGACCCGGGGGACACGGACACTGGTGGGTGGTTGGGTGTAATTAGCGCGGGCCGCGCGCGATGGAGCAAGCGAGGGGGAAAGGGAGAAGAGGAGAGCGAGCGAGGGGGGTTAAAAAAAAAAAAAAAAAAGGATTTTAGGGAGAGAGGAAACGGGCCGCGGAGACGGGCCGACTGTCTGTCTGCCCGCCCTAGGTGCCCCGGCTGCCCGGCCCCCGCCGCAGTCAGAAATTCACACAAAATGGCGGCTCGGCCCGAACGAGCCCGGAGGCCGAGGCGGGAGGAAGGGCGAGGTGGGAGGGGGAACCGGGAGGCGGAGGCCGGGGCCTCATCACGTGGAGGAGAGGGGCCCGGACCGCGCGCCCGAAGGGCGGCGGAAAGGGCCGAAGGCAGAGAGTGAGGCCGAGGGAAGGCGGAAAAAGCCGAAAGGAGCTGAGCGGGAGACGGGGAGAGCCGGAAACAGCCGAAGGTGGCAATGGAGGCGTGGCCAGAGCCAGAATGGAACGCCCCAGGGAGCCGGAAACAGCCGAAGCGGATCGGGACTGGGGGCGGGGGGGGGAAACTAGGAACTGAGATGATCCGAAAGAACGGAAGGCGGCGTCGGGGTGGGTGGCGGGAGAGGATACAGCCGAAAGAGGGTGATGGGACTTCGACAGAATGAGCTTAAGGGCGGGGCTGGGGAGGCGGTGAATTAAGAGAGTAAAAGACTTTGAGGAATTCGCCCTAGAGCAAGCGGGAAAAACCGAAAATTCCAGCTTGAGGGAAGGCGAGAAGAGCTGAAAGTTGTAGGTGAGAGAATGAGAGGGAAGGAATTCGGGATATGGAGAGAAAAAATAACCGAAAGCTGAAGGCCGGGTGCCGTGAGTTGTAGGTTTCCGGAGAAGGGGAGGATGGAGCCAAGACTGTCCGGAGATGACGTCATTAGAGACCTTGGTCGGTGACGTCATCCCCGGGCGGTGCGAGAGGGGCGGACCTTGGCAGTGCTTTGGGGGCCTTGAAGAGCCTGGAGCGTGGTCCATGGAAGGCTGTCATTAAATGCTCGGCTCCGAGGTTTACACAGTATACGAAGGTACAATCCTTTAACTCGCACAACTATACTAAGGGGAGCTACTGTTATTCCCATTTAGTGGATGCAGACTGAATCTCGGTGTTTAATTGGCTCCAAGTCATAGGAGGAGCACAGCAAGATTTTTCATCACAGCTGGCATTCCATTGTCTCCTGTAAAAATTTGTTCCTCCTATCTATATCCCAGGGTCTTTGTTCAATGCTTTTAAGAGCTCCTTGTATATTGCCAAGCCCTGTGATGGACAATAAGAACGTAGTTTCTCTGTGAAGCTTAAAAACAGATAATGCCCCAGGGGAAAGAGACTGAAAGTTTTTTGGTTTTGTTTTTGTTGTTGGTGAGGAAGATTGGTCCTGAGCTAACATCTGTGCCGATCTTCCTCTATTTTGTATGTGAGATGCTGCCACAGCATGGCTTGATGAGCCGTGTGTAGGTCTCATGCCTGGGATCCAGGCCTGTGAACCCAGGGCCACAAAAGCAGAGTGCGTGAACTTAGCCATGATGCCACCGGCCTGACAGGGAAAATGGAAGTTAAGAGAATAAAAGGGGGCTCCTATTATGTTGGGGGGAGGGGCAGGATCGTTTAAGTTGAAACACGAAGAAGAGGAGAAAGTTCCAGGCAGAGGAACTGGCTTATTTCAGGCCCTGACAAGGCAAGGACCACTTAGATTCCAGGAACTGAGGAAAAAACCCATGTGGCATGAGAGAGAAATATAAGAGGAGAGGGAAGCGCCAGATCACCTCTTGATATATTAATTAATCCTGCTATAAAAGAAAAAAATGTGCCTGGGCCGGCCCCATGGCTTAGCGGTTAAGTGCTCGTGCTCCGCTACTGGCGGCCCGGGTTCGGATCCCGG